TTCTCAACCGATTACAACTTCTCTTTCATCGCGCACACCCACTTTGAATTGCTCAATGCCTCCTCCATTCTCACAGGCTCAGATTCGGCCATAAGTGTAAAGTGAATAAGATCACCTTCATTGTTGATCTTATTATCATGAAATAATTCTCAATCTCGGAGCCTCTGAGGTAGACCTATGCGTCTTATTGGCCGTCTTGTCTACTGGATTCACTGTTTTTGATTTGAACTGGTTGCTGCACAGAACCCGCATAACCCATATTTTCTGCATTTTCTTGTGGAAATCTATTTTCAAAATTGGGGGAATCAATTTCTTCTTCTGAAAATTCAGTTCCAGCAGCCTCAGGATGCAAAACACACGAGTGAAATCAATTTCCCTCATCTAGGGAATCGATTTTTGCAACTGATATGCCTTTTTTTCTTCTGTTGTTAAATAACCTCAACTCGTCCACAACCACATCTCGACTTATCACTATCTTCTTGCTACTCATATATAACAACTTGTAGCCTCCGGTTGGATGATAACCAACAAGTAACATCATCTCTGCTTTGTCATCTAACTTCCTTCTAAGTTGACCCGGAATATATCGAAATGCTACCGAACCGAAAACTTTCACAGGACTCAAACTCAGTTTATGTCTTGACCATACCTCTTCTCGAGTCACTTTGTCCAGCTTCTTAGTAGGGCACATATTCAACAAATAGGCGGATCTAGACATGGATTCACCCCATAGTTCCTTCAACAAGCTTTTTCCCTTCAACATACTATGAACCATATTCATTATGGAACAATTTCTTCTCTCGACAACACCATTTTGTTGAGGCGTATAAGGTGGCACAACCTTACATATTATACCTTTAACATCACAATAATTCCAAAATCACTCGAGGTATACTAGCCTCCACCATCGATTTTAACAATTTTCAACTTGTGACCACTTTACCGCTCCGCCGTGGATTTAAAACGTTTAAACACATCAAACACCTCATCTTTCATCTTGATTAGATAAATCCATAACTTCTTACTAAAATCATCATTAAAAGTGACAAAGTACCTATTTCCACCATACGAGTCAACTTGCATTGGACCACAAACATCGAAGTACACCACCTCAAGATGATGTTTGGTCCTATGAGCCGTATCCTTGCTAAACTATTCTTGTGTTGCTTCTCTTGAACACACTCTTCACAAATTTCAACTGGAACATTGATCTTGGGCGTCGAGGTCTTGAAAATTGATATGTTCAAGACGGTAATGCCACAACCACTCATCACGACTTTCCTCTGTAGAAAGACATTTGTGATCCATCATTTTGAACTCTATCTTGAAAGTATGATTTGCAGTCATGTGTGCTCTAAGAATTAAGATTGTGTTTTGGTCCAAAACGTACAAAATCTTGCTTTCCATGTGAATTATGTAATTCTTCTCAAGCAATTGGCCAATGCTCAAGAGATTGCATTTAATTCCAGGAATATATAACACATATTTAATCAAGGAGTGACTCCCATCCTTCTTCATGATCAAAACATCACTCAAACCGTCAGATGCTAAAGTGGTGTCATCTATGAATTTTACTCTATTATTCGTGGCTTGATTGATTTTGATAAACCAATTCTTTCTACCCGTCATATGCGTTGAACAACCAGAATCCAAGTATCACTCATCACTTCCTTGTACTCCATCTCAAATGGTTACCATTGCATTTCGCTCCGAACACGTTTCTGGAAAAAAAATTTGCACTACAGACGCTGCTTCCCAGCTTCTGGCAGCTGCTACTGCTATTGTCCATAACTTTTCCATGCCGTAATTCTCTTATGTGATCATGACCAGAAGTGTATTATCATCATCCACCTCTTGTCTTGCAACCTTAGCTTCATCACCTTGATTTTCTTTCGATTTCTCATTACATTCCTTTGCAAAATGCCCAAGTTTTTCACAATTGTAACACTTTACACCACTTTTGTCAAACTTCTTGGCGTTGTTGCCTTGACCACTACCTTTGGAGAAACTTTCACCTCTTTGTGCCAGTGAACCCTTTAAATTTTATGAATCTTTTCCACCAAAATTATGGAAATTTATCTTCCCTTTTGAAGACCATTTTCCTTTTGATCTCTTACTCTTCTCATTGAGCTGTGATTGCAACGCAATTTCCATTTTGGCGTTGTCATTTCCTCTTTCATCCATTATTTATTCATGATCCTCTAATGAGCTTTGAAGCTCCTCCTTTCTCATGGTAAGAAGATAATTTAATTCTTTGATTGCAACCACTATGTTGTCAAATCTTGACGTTAAAGAATGCAAGATCTTTGCTACCATATTCTGTACAGACACAGTTTCACCGCAAGACTTCATTTAATTTACCAAACGCATTATACACGTAACATAATCATTGATTGACGCCTTCTCTTCCATTTGTACTAGCTCTAACTTCCTCTTGTGAGTTTGTAACCTTACAACCTTTTCCTTATCAGCCCCTTCATAAGCTTTCTTCAAGATCTCCCAAGCTTTCTTTACCGACATGTAATCACCAACCTTTTCAAAGTTGTCACTATCAACACAAGAATGTATCAAAATTGTCTTGTAGTCTTTCTTCTTCTCTTCCTTGAATGTAGCTTGTTGAGCAGTTGTAGCTTCTGCCCCAAGTGGTGTAACACCATCGTTCACTACTTCGAGAAAGTCTTGATACCCAAACAAAACTTTTATTTGTTTGCACCACTTGTCATAGTTCTTTGAATCAAGAACTGGAAGGTTGGTAGGGATTCAATCATTGGAAACAATAGACATGTTTGCAGCAGATTAATGGATCAGAACCATGGCTCTTGATGCCAAATGTTGGAACGTACATAAAAATAAGTTGGTGAATCAATGGTGAAAAGCAGTTAATTGGAGAAGATGAAGTTTAGAGAGAAATTGGAGATTATTAGAGAGAGGGAGAGAGAGAGAGAGAGAGAGAGAGAGAGAGAGAGAGAGAGAGAGAGAGAGAGAGTAATTGAGGAGAAAATATCAAAAGGGCATTACAAGAGGTATTTATAGGCAACACTAAAAACAAGGTGGAACCAAAACAGGCCCAAACAACTAAAAAAATTTCAAAACTTCGCAGCAAAAATTGATTTCCCTAAACAAGAAAATCGATTTCTTGAACTGAAATTGCAACTTTCAGAAATTTTTAACCGGTGGAAATCGATTTTCTCTGTGAAAAATCCAGATTTTTTATTTTCAGAAACTTCCAGAATGCACTTGAATTATTATCAACTTTCAATATAATTGTGATTGTATCGATAGATCCTTGACTTGAAATTTTCATAAATGAAAATTGATTCTTCCATCAAATTTTTCTATCAAACCATATCCATAAAAGAGAGGGGAGCCACAACAAACACATGGAAAAACCAAGTATTTTTTAGGCATAATATTTCCAAAATCGCATTTCCAGAGTACCATACTTCTTTTATGATGTTAGAAATCTAACAATCTTGCAACCATATTACCATACTAAAAACTCATATCTATGGATCATGTCAAAAACTCTGATAATAGTTATGAAAAAATCTGATAAGAGAAATTAAAGTCCACACAAAACACAAAAATATAAGATAGAAAACATTAAAAACAAAGAAAATCCATAATTGTTGTCTACATTAAGTGAATTTTTTGTAACAAATAATATATTTTTGGGTTAAATATACATCAATTCTCCCCCTAAATGTCACATGTCTTAAAAGATTCACTCTAAATGCTTATTTGGCAGGGTCTATGTGACTTTTTAATTTTATGTTATTTATTTAATTAGTGACATGACATTTGCTTTAGCTCTAAAATGAAAACAGAAATAATCTCAAAAATTTTAAGTTTCAGGTTTCAAACCCAAGAACAATTGTATTTCCATCATTCATTCACCCACTCGATTAACTATTGTTAGTTGATAATGTTTAGTCCTATTTGTGTTTCTAGTTCCAACTACATTGCTACATCCTGCTACATAAGAATTGTTGTTTAAGACAGCGATATTTATTAGCTTATCAGCATATGCCTTTACAAAGCTGCAGCCGTCTATGAAGGAACAGGTTGCACCAATGAGTTTGAAAATCAATCATAATAATAATAACCTGTTGTAGTTTACTTTAACTAATACACATTGGAGGAAGAAGACAATAAAACTATGGTCCAAAGCTTGAAGAGTTTAGTTCAAAACATGTAAACTTTGAAACTTAAACAATCAGTATGGCTAAGAAAAAGATTACATCCATATTTGAAAGGTTTAAACTGAGACAAAACAAATTGACTAAGAAAAAGATTACATTCCACATTCAATCAGATTCCTCATAAATATATATAATTTCTTATGACATATATGCATAATTATACCAATCTAGTATGGCTCATTATTTCTACTTATATGCATAATTATATATGTCAAGCAAAAAAACAATATTGACAGAATAAATATGAGGTTTAAAATACTCTGAACATTATTGCTAAATAATTTGTCTCATAGGAGTGTAACTAAGATGCAGATTTTAACTAGTTAAAATCTATGAATTATTTATAGATAAAATTCTCAACATGAACACCGAAAGGTATGAAACTTTGTGCGGTACAAAATATGGACTAGATCATCATATTTCTTTTCAAATTAGTGAGCCAAAAGCACTTTGATATGCTGTTCTACATGGCTGTTTGTGGTTTTTGGATTACCGAAAGTTATTGAAAAGTACATTTCAAGTCAAACAAAAACTTATTTGATGCTTTAACTTTAATCGCACAGCATGATAAAAAGCTCAACAATTACATGGTTTCCCCAGTCCTTGACATTTCAACAGGAGGCCCCATCTAAAAGCACATGCTAAAGTTACTTGAATAAAAAACAGGAACATGAACGAATACTTTTGTTACATGATGATCAACAACTATTGATGCTTGATAGATTTGAAAAAGTACATAAATTATTATACAACACTGTTTGATATAACATTACTGTCCCTTTTGCAGAAAGAAAAATGCTAAAAGTTTTTACATGGGTGCCTTCCGGGTGCATCCTTACAAGGATGAAGGCTTTGATTCTTTTGCTCAACTCCAGCCACAAGAAAATATGCAGTGTGACTGAAAAAGTTGATTAACATGATCTTGGAATCCTGATCAATATCTGAAGTGTTGTCCAATGCTTGTTGCATGTGACATAACCATCTCTTGGCAGCTTCATGTGTCACAGGAAATGGTCGATGTCGAGCTATTAGAGCAGGATGTCCTGTTATATGTGAAGTATCAAATGTTTAACATTTCATATTCTTTTATTACATTTTAACTAATCATTTCATCCTTAATCATTTTAACTAATTTTTATTAGATCTATATACTTCATTATTATTACATTATATTGATGAAAATTTTTATAAGCAATGATTTTGATAAGCAATGATTGGAAATAAAAGATTATGATATGTTAAATATATTTTTAGATTTAATATATTTTGAATCTAAATAAAATATCAAGGTATCAGAGAATAAATATAATTTGAGGAATTCATTTATAAATAAAAGCTGATGGTCTAGTAGTGGGGCGTTTGGCCTTCGTGGGGATGTTTCTGGTTTGAATTCCACTAAAACTTATTTTTTAAGATAATTTCTAGCTTATACATGGTCGAACATGACAATTTGTTTACAGTCAGCCACATTGAATTGGCCACGTAGGTCAAATAGACAGAATCTTGGACAAAAATCTACATCAATGTTTTTTCAGATGGAATCTAGAAATGTTGAGGAGGGATCACAAATTTTTTCTTAAGTAGAGGTAAATCAAATCTTGCTATTATTACAGGGGTATAAGGCATTTAACCCTATTATAAATATAAATCTTTATCATATTTGTAGGTAAGTGAAGAAGAAAAAGAAGGGATTAGATAATCCTACATATAAGTAAGAGTAAATTTTTTTGAAGTGTATTTTTTAAAATCTAGAATACTTTTTGGTGGTATTTAAGAAAGTTGAGAAACACTTTTAAACATTTTGAGTTTGTATGATTTATATATGGAGAATTGAACATATTGATAAACTCTTAGATAGAAAATATGAGCTATTTTTGGAAATTTGAGTGACTACTTTCTTACAACTCATTTATAATATTTTATAATAATTTTTGGAAGTATATTGATTCAGAGAGTTATTTTTTTTCTCAAAATATATTGACTTGATCAAATTGAGTAAACAAGTTATTTCTGTACCCGTCTTTTATTTATTTTTTGTTTGTTGTGAATTTGCTTACACTATTTTTGATAAGTTAATTTTTGTTTGATGTTATTTATTTTTGTTGTCACACATTATTATTTTTGATGTGATTTATATTTTTGTTAAATGTTCATAATATATATATATATATATATATATATATATATATATATATATATATATATATATATATATATATATATATATATATATATATATATATATATTATCCATTCTGTCCTATAATGAGTGATCGATTTAAAATAAAATAGTGTATCAAAATGAATGACTCATTTCAATTTTCAATACATTTTTTCAATTCTACTCTCTAATTTATTAAAATTTCATCATTTCCAATACATAATTAGGGGTACTATAGTAAAAACATTATTCTCTCACTTTTCTATATTTTCTTTAATATGTGTAAAATTGTGGGATGTGTCACTCATTATGGTAAGGAGGAAGTATTATATTTGGTATCTTGTGTAAACCAAACACTTAATAGGATAAGTCTTATCCTGTCTATATCATAATATCATATCCTATCATTATCATGTTTTATATCTTATTATATCTATATCATATCCTATCATTATCATGTTTTATATCTTATAGTATCTTGGGCATCAAACGGGCCCTTAGTGTATATCTTTTATTCTCAAAAATATTTGTCTATTACAATTTTATATTAAACAATAAATATTATAAAATATTAATTAAAATTAATTTTAACCATAATAAATTTAACACTCAAAACAATATTTTAAATAAAAATAAAGGATATACTCTGACAATGTAAAATAATTTTACACTTTCAATTAATCACAATCATGTTAAATGTCAAGTCATATTATTATTTTAAAATAAATTATATGACATCATTGAATAATAAATTTTGATTGGATGACAGTGTAAAACTATTTTACACTGTTAGTGCACTATTTTTTAATTCTTTTTTAAATTTGTGTGATTTATTCAATATTTAAGAAAAGATAAAAAAAAAAAAGGTTTAAGATTGCTGCAAAATCAGTTTATAAATTATTGTTATTATCTGAACTTTAAAATTTATATTTAAGCTATTAACACAAAATTACTTTTTTTTAATCATAAATAATGATATTTTGAAGTAATTAGTTTAATAAAAATAGAGTTTTGTTTTTGTCAACTCCACTATGAATTTGTTCTTTATCAATATAAGCGAGTAAAATTGTTGATTCATACATAAGATGTAAGTCAAACACTTTATCATATATATTTATTTAAGTTTTATCTTCATCGAAGCAACAATTTTCTGTCGGCTGGTTTTTCTTAAAACTTTATATCTGAGGTACAAGATAATAAAGTTACTAGTCTCATCCACCATTTAGATGTTTTTTATTTATGTTAGGCGTGCAGAAATTGATGTCTCACCCTTCAATGCTTATACAAATTTTTATTGAGTTAAAATTACTTGTATCTTTAATATTTACAACCCAAAATTGTTTTCTCTGGAAAAACTTTTTGATGTTTAATTAAAACTCATCGTACTCACTTATAAAAGTTAACTTATTTGCTCTACAGAGGAAGACATTTATTATAAAATTAAAAGGTCCAATCACACGGAAATTTTTTATTGTGAATATTTAACAATAATATAAATCACACCAAAAATAATAATGTGTGACAACAAAAATAAATAACATCAAACAAAAATTAACCTATCAAATAGTGTAAACAAATTCACAACAAACAAAAAAGAAATAAAAGACGAGTACACAAATAACTTGTTTACTCAATTTGATCAAGTCAGTATACTTTGAGAAAGAGAATAACTCTTGAGAAAGAGAATAACTCTCTGAAGCAATATACTTCCAAAAATTATTATAAGATATTATAAATGAGTTGTAAGAAAGTAATCACTCAAATTTCCAAAAATAGCTTATGTTTTCTACCTAAGTGTTTATCAATATGTTCAATTCTCCATATATAAATCATACAAACTCAAAATATTTAAAAAAAAATCTCAACCTTCTTAAATACCACCAAAAAGTATTCTAGATTTTAAAAAATACACTTCAAAAAAATGTACTCTTACTTATCTATCTAGGATTATCTAATCCCTTCTTTTTCTTCTTCACTTACCTACAAAAATGCTAAAGATTTATATTTATAATAGGATTAGATGTCTTATACCCTCTACAATAGTAGCGATATTTGATTTACCTCTCCTTAAGAAAAAAATTGTGATTTCCCCTCAATATTTCTAGATTCCCTTGATGCAGATTTTTGTTCAAGATTCTCTCTATTTGGCCTACGTAACCAATTTAATGTGGCTGACTGTTTTAGTGAGATTCGAACCCAAGAACATCCCTACGAAGGCCAAACACCCAATCACAAGACCATCAACTTTTATTTATAAACGAATTCCCTCAAATTATATTTATTCTCTAATACCTTGATATTTTATTTAGATTAAAAACATATTAAATCTAAAAATATATTTAATATTTCATAATCTTTTATTTCCAATCATTGCTTATCAAATTTTTTATTAATATAATGTAATAATAATAATGAAGTATATAGATCTAATAAAAAATAGTTAAAATGATTAAGGATGAAATGATTAGGTAAAATGTAATAAAAGATTATGAAATGTTAAATATATTTTTGGAGGATGGTTGTTTGTTGTGAATTTGTTTACACTATTTGATAGGTTAATTTTTGTTTGATGTTATTTATTTTTGTTGTCACACATTGTGTGATTTATATTATTGTTAAATATTCATAATAATTTTTTTTGGTGTGATTGACCTTTCAATTTTACAATAAATGTCTTCCGCCGTGGAGCAAATAGGTTAACTTTTATAAGTGAGTACGATGAGTTTTAATTAAACATTAAAAAGTTTTTCGGAGAGAACAATTTTGGGTTGCAAATATTAAAGATACAAGTCATTTTAACTCAATAAAAATGTGTATAAGCATTGAAGGGCGAGACATCAATTTCTGCACGCCTAATATAAATACAAAACATTTAGATGTTGGATGAGATCAGAAATTTTATTATCTTGTGCCTCATATATAAAGTTTTAAAGATAATCAGCTGACATAAAATTATTACTTCGATAAAAATAAAACGTGAATAATTATATATGACAAAATCTTTGATTTACATGTTATATATGAAACAACAATTCTACTCGTTTATATTGGTAAAGAAAAAATTTATAGCAGATTTGACAAAAACAAAACTCTATTTTTATTAAACTAATTACTTCAAAGATATCATTATTTATGATTAAAAAAAAGTAGTTTTGTGTTAATAGCTTAAATATAAATTTTAAAACTCAGGCAATAACAATAATTTATAAAATGATTTTGCAGCAACCTTAAACTTTTTTTTTACCTTTCCTTAAATATTGAATAAATCACACAAATTTAAAAAGAATTAAAAAATACTACATAGTTTTACACTGTCAAATAAAAAATGATTATTTAATCATGTCATATAATTTATTTTAAAATAACAGTATGACTTGACACTTAATATGATTGTGATTGATTGAAAGTGTAAAATTATTTTACATTGTCAGAGTATATCCTTTATTTTCATTTAAAAAATTGTTTTGAGTGATAAATTTATTATGGATTAAAATTAATTTTAATTAATATTTTATAATATTTATTGTTTAATATAAAATTGTAATAGATACATATTTTTGAGAATAAAAGATATACACTAAAGATCCGTTTGATGCGCAAGATATGATAAGATATAAAACATGATAATGATAGGATAGGATATGGACAAGATAAGGTTTATCTTATTATGTATTTGATTCACAAAGTTACCAAATATAATACTTCCTCCGTATCATAATGAGTGACACAATCTACAATTTCACACATATTAAAGAAAGTGTAGAAAAGTAAGAGAGATAATAATATTTTTACTATAATAGCCCTAATCATGTATTGAAAACGGTGAAATTTTAATAAATTAGAGAGTAAAATTGAAAAAGTGTATTGAAAATTGAAATGAGTCATTCATTTTGATACACTTTTTTATTTTAAATGGATCACTCATTATGAGTCAGAATAAGTAATATATATATATATATATATATATATATATATATATATATATATATATATATATATATATATATATATATATATATATATATATATATATATAAACATTTCAAGAAAATATATTTAATTTGGTAAAAAATAAAATTAGTTTATATTTTTAAGATTTTAATAGTTATTTTATTTTTAAATATTTTAATTTATTAGGTTCTAATTTTTTATATTATATAAAATTAAAAAATTATCCTCATGACAATCATATATATATTTCAAAAAATTAGTTATTAATTTAATATTAATTTTTTAAAATATATTTTATCATATTTTACTTTTGATTTAAAATTATATTTTAAAGGATAAATTTGTAAATTATTTTCTTATCATATCCTGTCGGATTCTAACCCAGTTCATATTCAAGATAACAATTTAAACTAGTGAAACATGATAGTATAAATTTTAGGAATTACTTATCATATCATATTGTATCATCAAATAGTGAATTAAGATAGAATATGATACAAATATCTTATTTTATCTCTTATCCTGCGTTCCAAACATGCCGTAATAGTGTAAAATAATTTTACATTATCAATCAATCACAATTATATTAAATGTCAAATCATACAATTATTTTTAAATAAATTATATAATATAATTAAATAATAAATTTTTATTAAATAACGATGTAAAACTATTTTATAGTATGGGTTTATCACATTTTAAGTCAATATTTATACACGTCCTTCCATGAAATAAGATATGTAGCAAAATTGTATGCCTTAAAACACATTTATAAACGATAAAAACTTTTTTTAGATTTATTAAATAATTGATATATTTACATTAAAATAATAATTAAATACATTAAAATAATAATTGATGTATATCTTATTTTCTTAACTAATAAAAAAAATCATTTTAAAGTATGAAAGCTTAATTAATAAATAAAGAATCTGACCTCTTGTTTGAGAATAGAGAGAAGGACCACCCATTCTCTGGACAAGGAATTCATACTGATTTTGAATTGCTTTTTCTTTATCAGACTTTGCAAATATCGATCGAAACCACTCTTCCTCATCATCATAAACTCTGTTGTAGAAATTTGTGGAAAGGTTTATGAAAGTTTGAATCCCTAACTTTTGAAACAAATTGGTATCATCAATGGCAAAAGCATGATCTGTTTCAACACCACTCCATTCCGAGGCCTTCTCTTGCAAACTCTGCATCTTTGTTTCTGTGATGAAGCAGATTAAGTCGTTGCTTCCTTATTATACTGAGCTTATGAGCTTTGCGTGGATTGCACGCACGCTCTTCGTGAAAAGGAGAGGGTATCTATCTGTGGATATAATAACATTATGATTCATGATGTTATTAATTAAATAATTATCATTTATTTTCTATAACTGTGACATTTAGGTGTAATAATCATTAATTAACGAAAAAATCTGTGGGCGTAGCTTCCATTATTTTTATTCCATCTATTTTAAAATAAAAAGTGGTAGCAACACTCAGTTTGTGGTGGTTTGCGTGTAAACTATGTCTTTAATTTGAGTGTGTCCCTTAGAACATCTCTAACTATTTATCTATTTTTGGGTTTCTTTGTAAGATTTATTAAGACAATTCATTTTGAAGCAATTCATTTAATTTCTATTTTAATGGTACAATTCTAAACAACTCATATTAGAGTACCTCCAATGGTGTAATTTAATTTTTGGTTTTTTGTGGGTCCTATTAAGTCACGTCATCTTGAAGCAACTCATTCAATTTTCACTTCAATGGTGCAACTCTAAAGAACTCAAATTAAGTCTCACATCTTTACTTTATATATTAATATTTTATTCATATTAAATTTTATTTGATTTAAAATAATTATTTAAATTTAAATTAATATAAAATAAATCAAATTAAAATTAAACATAAAATTTAAAATGATAATTAAAATTAATCTCAAATACATGACATATAATTAAAAACATTAAAAATAAATAACATAAAGAATTACTCAAATTTAATTTTCATCATTCTCATGTCCAAAACGTTCCCAAATATACTCGATTAGATCTCCTCGACTAGATCTCAAATGGTGCAACCCACCATTGGTTATTTTATGGATCTTTTTGCCACATCAATTCTAAATAACTCATTTAACTTTAGCTCCAGTGGTGCAATTCTGTAAATACTGACATTGGGCTCCACAATAATAGTTAATTTCATAAAATAATAGTATTTAATAGGTAAATGTTATCAAAGCAACGTCGCATTGCAATGCAACCGGAGTGCCAAATAGAATAAATAACATATCACTCCAACGGTGAACCTAGAAAAATCTAATGCCAAGTTGGAGCAACACAAGAAAAAACACTCCATTGGAGGTACTCTTAGGTCTCATAATTTTATTTTATATATTAATATTTTATTTATATTAAATTTTATTTGATTTAACATAATAATTTTAATTTTAATTAATATAAAATAAATAAGATTAAAATTAAACATAAAATTTTAAATGATATTAATTTTGAAGTAAAAAGATGAAAATTTAGGTAAAATACATTGTTAAATGAAGGCTAATGAGAAGAAATTGTAAGAGAAAATTTTAAAAATTAAGAGTAAAATGATGAAATTCTGAGAGAGAAATTAAAACTTCAGAAAAAATAAAAATGTGAAAGAAAATTTGTGTGTAAAATATTTTAAATAGGGTGTATTTATAATCAATTAAAAGTGTTTAAAAAAAGAAGAAAAAAATAGTCATTATTAATCTGCATTTTAAATTATATTATTTTTTATTTCCAAGAACCGTTGCATTGCACTATTGGCCAAGCTGGCCAACTCCAACGATTAAAAATCACAAGACTACATTTGTCGCCCTGAAAAACCAAAGAAAAAACCTCCGTTGGAGATACTCTTAGTAGAATTTTATGTCGTTATGTTGTCCCATAAACATGGTAGTGAAGCTTGACTAGTTCAAGAAAATTGAAAGATAATGTGTTTTGAATTGGACAAATACCCTTTAACAAGATCACAACCTCCTCTCCATCATAATCAAGAACCATCAATGCATTATATGGGACAAATTAGAGACAATTTTAATGGTCTCTTCTATATATATGGGTGATTCTGAGTCACATCCAGGTACACTTTCACTCATATTCATATTTACAAAGTTCTACAATATTCATATGTTAATTTGAGTCTTGCAAAGTTCTACAATATTCATATACTAATTTAAGTCTTGGAGTTTTAATATTTTGAGGTATTCCTCTTTAATTATCGAAGAACCATCCTCACTTCACACAAGACTTTTTTATGGTGGATGTTGTCACCCTATCACTCATTTTCTATTCGAGTATGAAAAAATGACACCATAGGTGAAGATTTATTATAGTTTTTGACAATTGTAATCGTTTCATAATTTCTTTTTACGTTATCTTTTCTAATGGCCAATTCAAAGGCAACACAACTAACAATCCTTGAACAAAACAAAGTGAAACGATTACAGGAAGTCGAGCTCAAAGAAGTCAATGTGAAGTACTTACACATTGACAAAACGAAGTAATGCAAAATTTTCAATTAAATCTCATTGACATGAAACCGAATAATGTATCCATCTAAAGGGTGTGATAGAAGATTTAATAAAAAAGGAAGATTTTGTAAATATGCCAAGAAAGACATCCAAAGAGAGAACAATAAGAGGCACATGAATTCTCTCCGGAAAGCGCCCAACAGAGTGAATTCCCGCATAAATGTTTTTCTTTCACGGGGTGATACACCACCCATAAAGATAATATAGAAGTAGTTTAATGTACTAGAAAGGTCAGAAATAACAATGAAGAATGTCATAATAAAGGGAATCGTCCATTCACAGTCCCTATCTTAAGAGATTGAATTTTATTTCCTCTTTCACAAGAAGGTTCTCACCACCAAATATATCATTTAAAGAAATAATTCAGAGAAAAATAACGTAGTTATTTGGAGGACTTGAGGGAAATTGTTCCTGATTGACTAAAGGCGCATTAAAAGTGATCTAATCGATAGGCCTAATCCAACTAAAGTGCTCCCACCATTCCCTTGCAGAGTACTGCATAGGTGCACAACCTCATTTCTATCATGACTATTGATCTGCATCCAACAATGTCCTACACACCACATTGAAAAAATATATGTGATAGTTATAATTTTTTCCTCTATATGTGTGTGACGTTGAGTCACACTTAGGTACACTGTCACACATACTTGCAAAATTTCACCTCATTCATATAACGACTTAATGTTGAAGTCATAACCTTTTGCAGGTATCCTCCTATGATCATCAAATAACTATGTGTAGCGGTAGAAATATTGAGACTAAGCCATTGGATTGACTTAACTCGCACAAATCAAATAAAAATCGCCACTGCACTTTATTGTTTCCAAAGGAAATAGGAAAAGAGCGAATAAACTCAAAAAAGATGGGGAGAGAATATAGGTATGAAGTTGGTTATGCAAAGGGAATATATTAGCACCCTAAACATCTACGGTACTCCACAGGAACCTCTTTGAAAATCTGTGTATTTTAGCTATAAAAGGTGTATACAAAAATAGATGGTGGATATAGGAAAAAAAGTATTTTTTACAATTTTTGCACTCGCCGCGATTGCGAACCTTTAGTGCCTACGTACTACCTTCCGTGCAATAGGGAACCAGGGTACTCATAGTTCACCTCAAAAAATTTAAAACACAAGTGTGTTGGTTAATTTTAAGAGAAGAGACATCATCGTCATATCCGAGTAGAAAACATACTTACTTCTCACAATTATGAGAAAGGAGAATTTGCATCATCTCAAAGTGGAGGATATAGCTTGGATTTTAAAATCAACAAAGCCTCACTCAACACCCAAGTAGAAAATATCTCATTTTACTATATATCGTAGAAGTATAGTAGCTCGCATCACTACAAGAATCAACAAGAGTCTAATCTTTTGAGAAAAGTTTTAAAGTAAAAAACTCAAAGTGGCAAAATGGTTTGAATGAGGTTAATTGGATTTTACTCTTGAGAAAGATGTCAAAGTATGGTTAAATTGATTAATGTTTTATGTAAGAAAATATTTTTGAAAGTGCATGGACCTAAGTCCAAGTTTATTATGAAAGCGGTTCAAGTTAGAAAACAAGAAAAGTTTTGACAAGGAGGGAGAAGATTTTTGAAATTAAAGAAGATAAGAGGAGATGAAGGGACTATCTTAAAGCACAAGGTAAAAGCCAAGGAAAAGAATGATCTAACCAACAAGAAGCCAACACTTGACATATGAAGTCAATGTAGAATTCCCATCCTTTGGATTAAAACCAAGCAAGCAAAAATACTAAACCTCTGAGACATACCAAGCTTCAGATGAGTTAAGTCTTCACAAAAATTTGGCAGAGTAACGATAAAAGAAAATAAAAGCCCAAATGAGCAAAGATAAAATGACATAAAGATAAATGCTCAAGTAAGTAAAAGAAAAATAATATGGAATGTAAATGCTAAAATAAATGGTACATGAAAGTAAAGGCATAAGATAAAGACATTAAGTAAAGTCAAATGTTAGTGAATTAGAAGTTAGAGGTTAGTTGAATGACCATCTTGAAGCTTGCATTTGAAAACTCATTAGAAGATTGATAAAATCAAAGCTTCTCAACTACAAGTCTCGTTTTCTTTTTGTCAAGTATATCATTCATTTTTAATACTCAAAGTAACCACATATGATCAACGATGTTCAGATGATTCACTTAGACCAAAATTTATAAAGTTCATTAGAGGATTGATAGAACCAAAGCCTCATAACAATGAACTTCAAAGTTATTGGATTAAAGATTTCAAATTAAACATACTTGGGATTGCAAGCATAGGTTTGGGCCACAAATGATCATTTTTCGAATCAAGACAAATTTAGCGTTATGTTAAGCAATTGTAAGTGGACTTATGTAGAAGTCACACCTATTTTGAGGCCGGTCAATAGCAAATCTATGCACCAAACATGTTAGAGAAATGATATGTAGATCATTGTCCAAAAACATGTAGCACAAGTAAAAACAAGAAAGGAATAAGATGAAGAGAGAAGGGGTGCATCAGATGAAACAAGGGTTTCAAATATCACCGACATCATTTATCCATTTTGGTGGATTTGGTTTTTCAACCTATCAACATCCAAAACCCAATGAGGTTGAGGGACTTGTCCCAAAATAATACTTAAATCAGGACCAAACAAAAAAT